AAAAAAAAAAAAAAAAAACCTTTTTTTTTTGTTTCTGTAATTTATACAAGGAATTTCCAAGACTAAAAGCAATGAAAGAAATCACAGAAGTCTAACTAAAATACCTGTAAAAGGTCAAATTTTGAGTCTTGACCAAATCTGAGAGCTGGAAAATATTAGTATCCCAATGAGTTGATAGTGATTTCTAAACAGCTTTTACAAAAACAGTAGATAATTTCTTTAGATTATTTTCATTTTTTGCTTTGGTATGTCAATTAAAAAAATAAACACATATTATCATACAAATAAGAATATAGCCCACATCACTGGTGTCAAAGAAAGCCAAATTAATGTCTATGTATAATTTTGAGAGGTCTAATTTGTAAACATAAAAATACTTATAGTCACTGTCTAGAATCCAGTGAAAGTAGATAAAATCTTATATATTTTTATTTAATTTTTTATTTAACTGAAATGTACTGATTGTACATATTTATGAGATACAGAGCTATATTTCAATACATGTATATATTTCAATACAACAACGTATAGTGATCAAATCAGGGTAGTTAGCAAATTCATCATTGCAAAAATGTGTTTCTTTGTGATGCAAATATTTAAGCTACTCTGTTTTAGCCATTTGACAACATACAATAAATTATTGTTAATGACTAGCACTGCAGTAAACCAATAGAACTTATTTTTCCTACCTAGCTGTAGTTTTGTGTCCATCATTATCCCCCTCCAAAAGTCCATTGATAAATGATTGAGTAAAGGAAATGTGGTATATATATACAATGGAATACTACTTAGCCATAAAAAAGCATCAAATTCTGCCATTTACAGCAGCATGGAAGAGCTTGGAGAAAATTATGTTAAGCAAAATACGNGTGACATCATGACCCCCTCTGTTAGTCCTTACATAATATTCCTTTATATAATTATGTTAAAAAAATCTCAAATTATTCTAGGATATACCTGCCCCCCGAGAAATCCAGTAAGTGATTGTCAACGTGAATTATTTTTGTATTATAAAAGAAGGTTTTGTGAAAGAAATGACAGATCATTGGTTCAATAATGAACCATCATTTGTTGAAACAGGCATATCTTCATTTCATATCTACCTCTTTTTGTTTCTTTGTTTCCTGCTGGATTTTTTGACATACTTGAGACATAATTCACATACTGTAAAATTCATCTCTATATTTTTTGCATACTTATTTATTTATTATTGGAACATAGTTGATTGTACATATCTGTGGGGTACAGTATTGAATATCAATACCTGATGATCAATATGTGATGTTCAAATCAGGATAATTAGCATATTCAACATTATACAATGTAATCGGTTTTCATGGCCCTTTATCAATTCCTCCCTTAGCTCAGCATGGAACTGAAAACACCAAGATTCAGGGTTTGATCCCTCTACAGCCAGTCACCAAACAAAACAAACAAAAAAACATTAACCAATAAAGAGCAGAATTTTTAAAAAATCATCTATTTAAAGTATACATTAAATGTTTTCATAGTATATTCAACTTATATAACCACCATCACTAGTTAACTTTAGGACATTTTTATCAACCTCACAAGCTGTTGCTGTGAAATTCTTTGTAGTCAA